ATTTGCTTACCAAGTTTTACACGCATTGTTTTTCACACTGGACTTTTCCCATTTCCTTTTCCCATCCCTCAAATTGTATGACCCCCTGCCCATCCTAACTCCCCTGCTCCTACGCTCCCCCCACTTTGGATCCTCATACACATTTTACTAGTTATCTTTCTATTTCTACAATAATGGTCTTAGAGAGTATTTGCCCTTATAAGACTGAGGGACTGAGTTATTTCACTTTGGTTGTTGTTCTTCATTCCCTCCCAAGTTAGGTAGTGATTTTCAAAATCATTACTTCTACATTGTGTGAATGTACCACAATTTCTCAGTCCATTCGATTGTAGTTGGCCATTTTTGGGTTATTTCCACATTCTTGCAATGGTGGTTAATGCTGCTATGAACATTGGTATACAAATTTCCTTTTGTGCCTCAGTTTTAATTTTCTTGGGGTATATTTCAAGCAGTGGATTAGCCGAATCATATGGTATTTTTATGTTCAGCTTCTGAAGAAAATGCCAAACTGCCTTCCAGAGTGGTTGTACCATTTTACAGTCCTACCAACAGTATATAGAGTTCCTATCTCTCCACATCTTCTCTAACATTTATTACTTGCCATCCTATAAACTTTGCCACTGCTACTGGGGTGAGATGGTATCTTCTTATGGTTTTGATTTGCATCTCTCTTCTTGCCAGTGACAAGAGTATTTCTTCATACTCTTAATACCTATTTTTAATAGATAAGCCACACACAGCACATACATACCTTAAGGAATTATTTGTTTAGTAAAGGAAGAAACCAAGAAATCAAAGAGCTAAACAGAAAATTTCAAAAGGCAGTCTGGGACAATAAAGGAAGATACTATAATGAAATGTGCAGAGAGCTGGAGTCAGAAAATCAAAAGGGACGAACTCGCTCAGCATTTCTTAAGCTGAAGGAGCTGAAAAACAAATTCAAACCATGGGTGGCAATACTTACTTAAGGATACTTTGGGCTGTATATTAAATGATCCAGAAAGTATCAAGAGAATATGGAAGGAATACACAGAGTCACTGTAT